TAAGAAAACCGGCGGAACAGACGCGGCACCAGCGCGGTTTGTGACCGCCCGGGTCCCCCCGCACCGCGGTACCCCAAGACACGACCCCGAGCCTCGCTGTGCCCTTAGCCCCATCCCCACTCACATGTGTCCCTGCGTGGGAGCTGCTGGTCCCGGAATGTACTCCATGGCCCGGGAACACACGCGGCCGAGGGTTCCGGGGAGGAGAGGAAGGGGCGGAGGCGATGCTGGTCCCGCCGGGAGGGAGGAGTGATGGAGCGGGAGGGACCGCGGGGAGGGAGGAGTGATGGAAAAGGGAAGGACCACGGGGAGGGAGGAGTGATGGAGAGGGGAAGGATCATAGGGAGGGAGGAGTGATGGAGCGGGAGGGACCGCGGGGAGGGAGGAGTGATGGAAAAGGGAAGGACCGCGGGGAGGGAGGAGTGATGGGAAAGGATGGTAGGGAGGAAGCCAACTTCCCGTTAGATCCCGTTTGTGGTGCACAGCAACCTTTGGGAAAGGGGAGCTGTTATGGTATCACAAGGTGCGTTTGTGGATCAGCACTTGTTTTCTGCAGGTTTACAGCTATGATAGAGAAAAGTAGAGCTGAATTGCATCAACACATTGTATGGGATTTATTTCATGTGGTAATATCCTGCTGGAAAGGACGAGTTGTGTCAGCTGGGACCTGAAAATCACAGGCTGTCAAGCTGTCTGATGTGGTTTTTGTCCTTTGGCACTTCTTTTTTTTTTGGTGGGCTGCTTGTGTTCACAGTCTGCTACTCACTTCTGCTCCTTTGAAATCAACTTTCTCTCTGGAAACTCACTCTGGGCCATATTATTTAAAAAAAATCAAAGGAAAAAGCAAAAGAAGATAAAAAAAAGAAGTGTTTCCCTGCACTGAAGTTTCATTTCTGTACTCCTCAGAACTTTTGCTACACTGCGGGTGTTAGATAGTTTTGACTTCCAAGCCCTGATGAATCACTCATTTGAGTTCTTTGATTTATGAGATAATACACTTCCTGTGAATTCCAGGCTGTCACTTGGAGAATCTCACATTGCAAGAGGGATAGGACAAAGTCTGTCATTTATGGGAAGCAGATCAAGACACTGGGAGGAGATTTTGATCCTAATAATACCTTAAAAGTTTCCCCCTGCAGATTTATTTTCAACTGCAGTTTTCTCCACCTACTTTTGGTGCTAATATATCGAACCCTACCTCATCTCAAGGCACAGCCTTAGTTAATATCAGAAATAGGTTCTGTAGGTCTGCTTTCATGCTTATTTGCAGGTAACTGAGCCCTTAAGGAAGCAGTTTGAGGAAAGATCAAGTGCCAAGGCCAGAAAAGCCAGGAGAGCGTTTGTGCCAGTCGTAAGAGCTGCATCACAGCAGCTTCATTTTCAGTAGAAATGCCAATTAGAACCATAGAATGATAAATTCATTGGAAAGATATTCCTGTGATTAATTTATCAGACACCTGAGGTCACTATTCCCTCACAGAAACTGGATCTGGGAGGTGGAAAGGAGGTGTTGAAGCAACCTGAGGAACTTCTGGGACCTCTTAGTCAGTTAGAGCTGCTCTGACTTTCCAACACAGAGGTTGTGTCCTGGTCTGGTCTACTCTTTTCATTAGCTGTGTACGTTTAAGTGTAAAACTCTCTAAAGTGACAAATTCAGCTTTTGAGAGGATTGTGTTGACACCCAGTCTGTGCTTTTAGTTGTTGAGGTCCTGAGCAAACACTACTGACACTTTTACTCTTTGCCCTATTGCATCAAGGAATAACTGGGAGGAATGAAGCAGTTTCCAGTCAGAGAGCAAGCAACAGATGTGCAGGCAGGACTCAGGAATGTGCTGCCCAGGGAGGTGGTGGAGTCACTATCCCTGGAGGTGTTTAAGGACAGACTGGAAGTGGCACTGACCAGGCTGGCAATGGACACCAGGTGCAGTAGATGCCCTGTGTTCTTTGTCTTGTTGTCTGATGAGGAGTGGCTGAGGGAGCTGGGGGGACTCAGCCTGGAGAAAAGGAGGCTCAGGGGAGACCTTGTCCCTCTCTACAACTCACTGACAGGAGGTGCAGCCGGATGAGGATCAGCCTCTTCTCCCAGGCAACAAGCAACAGGACAAGAGGAAATGGCCTCAAGCTGTGCAAGGGGAGGTTCAGGTTGGATATCAGGAAGAATTTCTTCGTGGAAAGGGCTGTCAGGCATTGGAAGGAGCTGCCCAGGGAGGTGGTGGAGTCACTATCCCTGGAGGTGTTTAAGGACAGACTGGACGTGGCACTTAGTGGTGTCAGGGCATAGGTTGGACTCGATGACCTCAGAGGTCTTTTCCAACCTGATTAATCTGTGATTCTTACTCTGTGTGATTCTGACTCAGAGTGGGGAGTTAAAGGCAGGGCTGTGGCCAAGGAAGATATTTAAGGATACAAGGTGGAGGCAGGAGCTCCCTGTGCCTGAAAGCTGTAGGAGACATTATTGGGCAGGAACAGATTGTCCCTGGCCTGTGTATGGGGTGGCAACTCCCAGCTTCCAGATTTCTTCCAAGCCAGGATCTAGCTCCCAGTGCTGAGTGGTCTGTTGCTTCAGGAAAGCAAAGCTTTCCTTGCTTTTCATGGATTGCAGCTGGGAAGGTGCAGACTAATAACTTCAACAAGGCTGGTGCACACGGAGCCTCAGCTGCTGGTTCAACTTGTCCTCTGTGATCTCAAAGAGTGATATGAACAGGAGGAATAACATTAGCTGATCCCATTGGGACACAATTCTTCCAGGAGCTGCTTTCCCTGAGTTCATCTGCACTAAATTTACAGGGATAATGCTCCAATTCTTTTCCAGTTCTTGCCTATTTCTTCAGTTCCTTGTGAGGAACCCAATTAACAATCCAATTTCTAGTGGGAGCCACAAACATTATTCCTAAACTTCAGAGAACAAAAAGAGCTGAAACCAAACTCCTTTAAAATAGCTTTGTGACAGGGATCAGGATATTGTGACATTCCACTTTGAGCTGATGAAGAGATGAAACTGTGCATTGCATCATCGGGGTTTAATGAGCTTCATCTCAGCACATCTATCTGTGGTTTAGTTTCATTTTCATGTGTTGCATGGAACTTGCACATGAGACATATTTTGGTGCAGAGCTGAAACCAAACTCCTTTAAAATAGCTTTGTGACAGGGATCAGGATATTGTGACATTCCACTTTGAGCTGATGAAGAGATGAAACTGTGCATTGCATCATCGGGGTTTAATGAGCTTCATCTCAGCACATCTATCTGTGGTTTAGTTTCATTTTCATGTGTTGCATGGAACTTGCACATGAGACATATTTTGGTGCAGTGCAGGGATAGCTCTGGAATGCTGTTTGAGGGAGCAGTGATGGGAAATGCTACTTTGTGTCAGCAGAGGGGGTAATTCCCAGTCTGGCTGTGGGAATAGCTGGATGCTCAGTGTGCCAGAGGCAGAGCTGCTGGGTTTGTGCAGTCAGGGCACAGTGGATGCACATACAGTTTTACACTGAAGGGCATCCTTTGCTTCCTAAATTCCTGGAGTACCTAAAGAGGGTTACAAGAAGGCTGGAGAGAGACTTTTCACAAGGGCATGGAGTGATAGGACAAGGGGGAATGGCCTTGAGCTGAAGGAGGGGAGAGTTAAATTAGATATTGGGAAGAAATTTTTCCCTGTGAGGGTGCTGAGGCATTGGCACAGGTTGCCCAGAGAAGCTGTGGCTGCTCCATCCCTGTGAGTGTTCCAGGCCAGGTGGGGGCTTGGAGCGGGCTAGTGGAAGGTGTCCCTGCCCATGGCAGGTGGTGAAACGGGATGGTCTTTAAGGTCCTTCTAATCCAAACCAGTCTGGGATTCTGATTCTATGAGATTGGATCTTCTGGGTATTGCAAGGGCAAATCCTCCTGGTGATAACCTGTTAGGAAAAGCGTGGCCAGGAGCCAGGAGGTGTTGCTTTAGACCTGGCATGTTTGTTAGCTGTACCAAGATGCACTAGACCTGAACCTCAAAACGGGATGGTCTTTAAGGTCCTTCTAATCCAAACCAGTCTGGGATTCTGATTCTATGAGATTGGATCTTCTGGGTATTGCAAGGGCAAATCCTCCTGGTGATAACCTGTTAGGAAAAGCGTGGCCAGGAGCCAGGAGGTGTTGCTTTAGACCTGGCATGTTTGTTAGCTGTACCAAGATGCACTAGACCTGAACCTCAGACTAACACATAATTGCCTTGAAAAGGTAAATATTTGCTCATGGGAACATGATAGGAATCTAAGAGACTATTGTACAGTAGCTGTTTGCCTTCTGTAACCTTCCATGTCTCAGCTAAAGCATTTCATCCCATTAATAGGCTGAAGGAAACCCAGTGAGAGAGTGAGTTGTGCTGATAGCTGGGGAGCTGCCAGGAGAAGGTCCATGCCAGTGTCAGATCCAGACATTGGCATGAGGGAAGGTTCAAGTTGGATATTAGGAAGAATTTCTTGACCACTGCAAGAGTGGTCAAGCATAGGCACAGGCTGCCCAGGGCAGTGGTGGAGTTACCAACCCTGGAAGTGAACAAACAATGAGTAGACATGGCACTTTGCCATATGGTTTAGTGGTCATGGTGGTATCAGGCAAAGGTAGGACTTGATGATCTTGGAGGTCTTTTCCAACCTTAATGATTCTATGATCAGGAAAAATAATGTGTTTTTCATAGCACTTTTATTTCCATATATTGGCATTTTGAGTTTTCTTATGAGAGAATATGAGGCACCTGCTTCACACCTGCCCGTGGTTGTCTTTTGGCTGGATGTGCACTGCTCTTCCTCCCTCCATCACTGCTTTTGAGGGTAGAAGGAGAGGACAGGAGTGTGGTGGAGGCAGAGATTATATGTTTGGATGTGGATGGAAGAGCAAGAGATCCACAGATTACAGGGGAGAAGAAGGAGTAGGTAAAGGAGACTTTGTAGATGGAAATGGGAGCAAACCAAATGGAAACAGTGATCCAGCTGTGCAAGAGAACCATGTGAAGCCAATTGGAGAGAGCAGGAAGGGAAGGGGAAAGCAAACTAAACCACTGGATGAGATGCCTTGCACCAGGCTGAAGCTGCCTGGGGTCTGCTGTATCCATGCCTCCTCTGGAACACAGCTGGGAAGAGATGTTGAGTGGCTCTGCTTCTGACCAGACTTGATGCCTTCTTCAGTAAGCAATGA